AATACTAATAGACATTTTTGAATCAAATCATCACATGCAGTCATTATAAAGTAGAAGATGATGATGATAGTGTTGTGATCTGATGGATTCATCCCCAGATCGATGGCTTCCCATTGTCTCCTGATGTATGAGAGTCATTGTGTATCTCGTGTGTGGTCGGTTTATATCTTATGTGTAGTCACATGTTTACAGGGGTCTCATTTCATGGTCAGGTTTCTTGTGTCTCAATGAAATAGTGTACACATATATATGTGAAAGATTCTGAAATAATCGGTATCTGAATATATATATCTTTCAGGAAAATTTCAAATCCAAAGGAATTCTAGTACATGGATGTTTCCTTGATATGAAAACTAGATTTCATTGACATAAAATGTAGGTTTCATTGTCATAAAATATAGATTTCATTGTCATAAAATGTAGATTTCATTGACATAAAATGTAGATTTCATTGACATAAAATGTAGATTTCATTGACATAAAATGTAGATTCCATTGTCATAAAATGTAGATCCATTGACATAAAATGTAGATTCCATTGTCATAAAATGTAGATCCATTGACATAAAATGTAGATTGCATTGACGTATTGACTATGATGACAGAGTTCCTGTGTTGACCTGCCTGGAGACAGCTGCTTATTGGACTGGAAGGGTGTAGCTAGCTCTCACTAATTGGAGAAAGGTGTGCCTCATTACTTATGGTTTTATTTGTTTTTAATGTGTGTACTACTTGACTTGTCATGTTTTAGATCGAGAAGAGGTGCTGAGGCATGCTCTACCCATGAGGCATACCTACCCACCAACATTTACACAAATTCTTTTGTACAGGGCTCAGAAACTGATATTGCGTTCTCAGGTTTAGAATTTTTTTCTTTGTGATAATAATGATTCTGCCTCCTGTGATCCTGTGTATAATGCTGATGTAATGTTTCTGTACCTCTGTACTCTTGTGAAGAGTTCTGTTTCTCTGGATAGTAATCCCAGTGAAGGTTCATTATGGGTCTGACATGTTACCAGGGGCGATGATCCCTAACAGTCATTATAAGAAAAACATCTGCAGGCTGGTAAAACCAACACTTCTCTAATATAATGCCTTGGTATTATAGGTTACAAAATAAATATTTCTGAAGTGAAGTGTCTCAATCCTGGTAGATAAAGAGGGAACTGATGTTCTTCAGCATAAGAGTTACACTTAGCCAGGATTTCTGTCAGTTAGTTCCTAACACTATGTAACTTTTGTCGAAAAACTCAAGATGGACCTGCAGATGTTAAAACAGGACTCAAAAGACTGAAAAGCTCCTCTCCTAAAGAAAAAAGAGTTTATTAGCTGGGTTTATGACCAATGAGCAGCCAGGGTCATTTTGAGGCATGTGTCCTTGTGGTATCTTCACTGTACAACATATGGAAGGTCCATCACATGCTATCCAGAACACTTAGGGTAGTCTTTGGTAACAATTGTAACAGAATAGTGCATTTCTCAGCATATTTAATTTCAATCATAAACAACCCTGGCACAGCTGGTCAAATCATTAGGTAAAAATAACATGGGTATAATTTTAGTTTCATTTCAAGCATCATAGCTATACAGGTTGTTCAGGTTTCTAGGAGTTGCTAGGGTTTCTAATAGTAGTAGTGGTTTCTGATGCTTACTAGCATATTGCAAGGGTTGCTGACAGTATGTTACAAGGTTTTTCTATATTGCTAGGGTTTGATACAGTCTGTTACTTGGGTTTCTGACAGTATGTTACTAGGGTTTCTGACAGTATATTTCCAGGTTTCTGACAGTATGTTACTAGGGTTTCTGACAGTATATTTCCAGGTGTAAAACAGTATGTTACTAGGGTTTCTGACAGTATATTTCCAGGTTTCTGACAGTATGTTACTAGGGTTTCTGACAGTATATTTCCAGGTTTCTGACAGTATGTTACTAGGGATTCTGACAGTATGTTACTAGGGTTTCTGACAGTATGTTACTAGGGTTTCTGGCAGTATGTTACTAGGGTTTCTGACAGTATATTTCCAGGTTTCTGACAGTATGTTACTAGGGTTTCTGACAGTTTGTTACTAGGGTTTCTGACAGTATGTTACTAGGGTTTCTGACAGTATATTTCCAGGTTTCTGACAGTATGTTACTAGGGTTTCTGACAGTATATTTCCAGGTTTCTGACAGTATGTTACTAGGGTTTCTGACAGTTTGTTACTAGGGTTTTTGACAGTATATTTCCAGGTGTAAGACAGTATGTTACTAGGGTTTCTGACAGTTTGTTACTAGGGTTTCTGACAGTATATTTCCAGGTGTAAAACAGTATGTTACTAGGTTTTCTGACAGTATATTTCCAGGTGTAAAACAGTATGTTACTAGGGTTTCTGACAGTATATTTCCAGGTGTAAAACAGTATGTTACTAGGGTTTCTGACAGTATATTTCCAGGTGTAAAACAGTATGTTACTAGGGTTTCTGACAGTATATTTCCAGGTGTAAAACAGTATGTTACTAGGGTTTCTGACAGTATATTTCCAGATTTCTGACAGTATTTTTCCAGGTTTAAGACAGTATGTTTCTAGGGTTTCTGACAGTATGTAACTAGGGATTCTGACAGTATGTTACTAGGGTTTTTGACAGTATGTTACTAGGGTTTCTGACAGTATATTTCCAGATTTCTGACAGTATGTGCTTAAGTTTCTAGCTGTAAGTAGAACTAGTACAGATGCTTTAAAATGCTATGATCTTACCCTGGAAGAATTGTTTAACCTTTTGTTTTAGAGAATTTTAAAAGCAGGTTGTTAAATATTTAGTGGCTATTTTTTTCTTGGTTGGTGATGTATTCAGTGTGGCACATTGTGCTGGAGAGCAGGAGCTATTCGATTGATCCCAAACTTTGTGACTTTAATGGATTTTTAATTCCAGTATGGAATTGTTAGCCCACATCAGCCCTCACTAGTTGTTAAAACTTCTTCAAATTTCACTTCTCAGAATTGAATGTACTTCAGCAATGACTTTTTCTTCTCAGCTTTTACTCAACAATGTCAAATCATCGCACCTTAGCTATCTTCTAAATTCTGCCTGCGATGCGACATTTCCCAGGAGGTAAACCTCTGCAGGTTGGGGAGAGTTTAAAAACATTCAAACTTTGCTGATAATATATATATACAGGAAACCTGTGTAGAATGGTCACCTGTGTAGAATGGTCACCTGTATAAGGGTTACCTGTATAGTAGAAATACCTGAAATATACCAGTATCATTTCATTGTATTTTACGTATAGCTATAAAATGGCGTGTTATGTCATGTCATATTTTCATGTCATAGATATCATTGTAAAGACACAAGTGTCATAACAGTATTGTGATGTCATAAATGAGTCACATCATTGGTGCCCGTGAAAAGCAGGTCAGAATTCAAGATGAGGCATATGGATTATTGGTCATTGTCCTTGACATTGCAAGTCAGAGTTCTAAATGTCGTCTCATAGGGGTTAGAGGTCACAGTATCCTTGACACGCAGCTCAGGATTCAAGGTATTGTGTCACAGAGGCTAAGGTCATTGTCCTTGGCATGAAGGTCAAGTTCAAGATCTATCGTCATAAGGTTAAAGGTCTTTTTCCTTGCCAAACAAATTAAGGATCAACGTATTGTGTCATAGGGTCAAGAGGTCATTGTGTGTGGGACATGCAGGTGGAAATGGTTTTTCTGCTCTAATTACATATAGTACTTACTCTTGCTATACTGCATGAACTTTATCGAAGTACATAGCAACACCTAATGACAAAAATTGATAGCATGAATGAGCACATTAAAACTTCAGACAGGATAAAAGTGATGATATGATTATACATTTAGGGTTTTCCTGTGCAGCTGGCTTGTTCCTGGCTCCATGTAAAATCTGCCTGTGTTTTTAGACAGTGATATGGATATCACATAATGAGAGAAATTCTACTTAAATCCACGCAGCTTGCCTTCTAATACTTTTTCACGCTAAAATTTTCATAACTGGGTTTTAAAATGCCTTCAAATAGTAATAATTCAAACTTATCTCATTATCAGCAGACATACTCTGACTGTCAATGATTTAATCATCGTAAACATGACCCAAGACTAAGCTGTATGTAATGGTGTTATGGCATGTGGAATGGTTAATGCACCATATTCTTATCGTTAATTGAAAATATTTGTTGAAGGCAGTTAATTTGATTGGTGAAGAATCATACGAGATGTAGTTTGTTTGGTGGGTAGATTTGCTATTGTATTAGATGACTACATTACTGTAAACCTGTAGGATTTACAAGTGTACATTAAAAAAATAATTGATGCCTGTTAATTTATCAGACATGTAAACACACATAGATATGCACTAGATATATGCTGCTGCAAACTCTTTGTGAACATTATACATGAAATTAATGTGTGTGAGGTCTGAGTGATGATGTCACCAGCGGGACAATCATCTGCATGGTATCAGTAGAAAAATCATCTCCCCACACGGTCGCCATTGCATGCTTTCCGTACATTTCACTTTGCATGTCAGTATATGGGAGTCTTGTCACAAAAGCCAAAACCAATTGAGATTTAGAATTTGATGTTCAAAAAAGTAAATTATCAAATTTTCACCCATTGAAGGTCTGAATGCTGGACTGATAATGATCTGGTCGGACCACCTCAGTATCAGATATGTCGAGTTCAATTACAATCACATTACGAAGCGGCTGTTTTCATCATTTCAGAATATGTATTAGTTTTCAAAGCTGTAGATTCTATGTAACAATGTAAGGCAGCAGTTTATGACAGAATCATTTCACTCCCAATTGTACAGTGTAATGAGTTCTCGTTGTAAAAGGATTTGTTTATCAAAGCCAGCAATGAACAGGATAGTTTTGTGCAAACAAGCCTATTAAAAACAAACCAATTTCTCCCCGTCAACCAACATGTCAGTATTTCCATTGAGATAACACTTTACATATTTTATCCTGTCGACCTAATCAGTTGTTTTTTTTCTTCACAGTTGACATTGACCAGGGTGAGATCCGTTACATCCTTGCCGAGGGAGCGAATGCCACCAACGATATTTTCTTCTTTAAAGTCACAGACCGAGGTAAGACCTCAGTTACTATGGTGATCAACTTGGATGTTGAAAAGTCCTTGTAATGTATTGTAGTTATTGGAAAATACACAGGTAGAAGTTTACATGCGTGATATCAAATACCAGACTTTTTTACAACAAACTTGTCTTAGACTATATCTTGTTGTGCACAACTATGTCTTGGACCAATGTGTCTCTGAAGACTATGTCTTGGGCCAGTGTGTCTCAGAAGACTATGTCTCGGACCATTATGTGTTGAAAGACAATGTCTTGGGCCATTGTGACTTGGAAGACTTTGTCTTGGGCAGTGTGACTTAGAAGACAATGTCTTGGGCCATTCTGACTTGGAAGACATTGTCTTGGGCCAATGTGACTTGGAAGACTATGTCTTGGGCCCATGTGTCTCTGAAGACTTTGTCTTGGGCCATTGTTACTTGGAAGACTATGTCTTGGGCCCATGTGTCTCTGAAGACTTTGTCTTGGGCCATTGTTACTTACACCAACAAATCTTAAACTATTTGTCACACCAAACTATGTGAGACTAATATGTCTCAAGCTCTATAAAACAGCCCTTATTTAATGTAAAAATAGAATTTTGTATTGTTCTAATTTTTGTCACAAATTGTAATGCAATCAGCAAGCAGTGTCTGATTAAACTTTTGAAAATTGAATTTTAGTGAAACATAATTAGTCGTCTTATTGTGTAATCAATAAGCAGCTACAGCAAAGTTGTTAATCAGAGATGAGAAAATTTGTCGAGAGAAAACACCAAGGTAGCAGGATTCTTCCTGAGAGGGGTAGGTAGGGCGGTAATTGATTATTAAATCAAAGCTTGATGATATAAAAGATGGCAGGGCAACCAGGGTTTAATTACAAAACTAATTGTTTCTCATTACTGTTTCTCATTTGATCTTAAATAAAACTTCAATCAAACCTGTTTAAAAAGGCCACATCAGGGAACAAACATGTGGCCTCTCTAGACAGGTGACCTTCATATAGAGGTTAAATTACTATGAAGTATATTACATTTGGAACTGAAACTAGTAGTTTTTATAGAGAGTGTTTGTGCACAAGACCTTTAAGGCAGGGAGACACTTATATTTTTTTTATAATCCCATGCAAGTTCAGACAGATATGAAGTATAAATTACATATAGGAATTCAAATATTTTATTTGAATGACAATATTAAGAGGTGGTCGTGTTTTCTCATTGTTTCTGTTCAGCTCTACATTGTGCTGTGAATGAAGAGTAACAGAAACTGGATAGTTACAAGGTTAATTTGATTCTCTTAGCCTCCTTCAATAATCCATGAGAGCACTTTAATATCCAATGGACTGGACTTATCACAAGACTATGACGATTACAAGACTTTGGGATAATTATACTGGGCAGCAAAATATTGGGTTTATTAACAGGCGTTGACTTAATGTTGAATAAATGTGATATATTGTGTATTAGAGATAAGGGAGGGATTTTTGTTTTCGGTGCTTTTACATATAGATATTGAAGGGATATGTATCACAGTACGGTGAGCACCACTAAGCTCAGTGATAAAACAATGTAATTCTATAATTGCTAGTTTGGTCCCAAAGGGGGAATTTTGCATCTGTGTTATTCCTTCCATTTACAGACCGGTTGTGGTGGCCAAATACTGTTCATTAATGTGATAAATGTGGTTTTGATAAGGATCTACCAATAGTAATTAATAGTGCGATCTTTCAGATCCTTTTTGACGTTTTTTCGGTCGCCTTGCTCCTCCTCTTTTTTATACGACTCACAAAGTATGGAGGATCAGAGAGAGCAGAATTTAAGGTCAATGGAGGCAACTGGTTACAGAATGTCCCCTCGAAGGGACACTGCCGGGTCTGTCCCAGGGAAGGAACACTGCTTGGTCTGTCTCAGGAAAAGGATACCACCAAGGAAGAGATACACCGGGGTCTGCTAAGAAAAAAATGTTAGAAGGGAGGAGGTCATCCCATTGAGGTGTCACAGACTAATTGACATCGTCACTCTGCAAACACATGTTGAATCCTTAGGGCAATCTCTGACCCCAAATAACAGCCTCAAACCCTTCAGTAATGATAGTTACAAGATGTCACCTCTGATCCCAGATCTACACACCTCAGATCCCTGAGCTACACTTAAGTCTCAAACCTTTCAGTAATGATAGTTACAAGATGTCACCTCTGATCCCAGATCTACACACCTCAGATCCCTGAGCTACACTTAAGTCTCAAACCTTTCAGTAATGATAGTTACAATATGTCACCTCTGATCCCAGATCTACACACCTCAGATCCCTGAGCTACACTTAAGTCTCAAACCCTTCAGTAATGATAGTTACAACTATAAGTTACAAGATGTCACCTCTGATCCCAGATCTACACACCTCAGATCCCTGAGCTACACTTAAGTCTCAAACCCTTCAGTAATGTTGGTTACTTCTTTAAGTTCACCTCTGATACTCAAGCTATACTACAGCCTCCAACCCTTCAGTTAAGTGATAGTACTAACACATGTTATCACAGCAACCATATTTAAGTCTTTTGGGAAGTCTGGAATTATATTATCTTGCTGGTACTATCATCTTCGTCATGCTTGATTGATCACACAGAATAGTGGGGTCAGTTTGGAGCAGCTATAATCTGGGAGAGGCGTCTCCCCTTACTAGTTCCCCCTACTGCCTACCCCCTCTATCTCTATACCCGACAAAACAGAGAAATATATCATTGCTAAGGAGACACACATGTTTCAAAAGATGAGTTTTCCTGACTTTCTGTGTGAGAGGATTTGGAAGCTGATACAGCTTATCAGGTTTAGTATATCAGTGGTTTTGGAATTTGTTTATATTTTATGTAATTATTTTGAGCTAAAAATCCTTGTCTTCTCCTAAGATAAGATAGAAGGTGCTGATTTTAGGAGGAAAATGTGATAGAGAGATACTCATGATGATGGACGACTTCCATCGTTTAATTTAAAATACAGGTTTTGTATGACACATCGGAGCCTTGAGTTTGGCTGGAACTTTATTGTATGTGTCTCTAAGTACTGAGGGATCACTTGGTGTAATTTTGGTACCTACCTACCTGTGACCATACCACACTCACCTTTCTTCATCAACACATACCTGTACCTACCTACCTGTGACCATACCACACTCACCTTTCTTCATCAACACATACCTGTACCTACATACCTGTGACCATACCACACTCACCTTTCTTCATCAACACATACCTGTACCTACATACCTGTGACCATACCACACTCACCTTCCTTCATCAACACATACCTGTACATACATACCTGTGACCATACCACACTCACCTTTCTTCATCAACACATACCTGTACCTACATACCTGTGACCATACCACACTCACCTTTCTTCATCAACACATACCTGTACATACATACCTGTGACCATACCACACTCACCTTTCTTCATCAACACATACCTGTACATACATACCTATGACCCCAAGGGCCATGTGAGCTATAAGAATTTCTGCAGTATGGTCTTTTGTCCTTTGTCTGTCAACTTTTGATATATAATGCTATATATGAACAATTGAGCGGATTTTGATCAAATTTGGTCTGAAGCATCCTTGGGGACCTAGAAACCAATCGGTAAACTAGTAAAGCAGTAGTCCTTGAATTGATCTTAAATGAAAAGAACAGAATGACCTTTGTTACATTGACACCAGTTGAGACCCAGGAGGTCTGGACAGTCAAGGATGACTCCCAGAAGCATACCTGATACCCCTTTATGTCATGGAGACAGGTTCCTATCGGGATAGTATTCATCTTTGTAAATAACAGCCACTTTCCAACTAGAGTGATCGTCATTTAGGCCAGAAGTTCCAGGTTTGATTCCTAATGGAGGCATGAAATAGTGAATAACCACTGTTACACATACACATTTACACCTGTATTACAGGTAGCCTTATACCTCCAGTACCTTTTCAAGCACTACCTGACCCCCCTCCCCCCCCATCCCCCCCCACCCCTCCTCCCACCTCATAGGCCTCAGCACACTGCTGTCCTCTATCACCACTTAAAGCGATAACTAAGGGGTACTGTGTTATGTCTCGCTTATCCATCAATTCATCTGCCACAAGCTTCATAAATATTGCCATCTTTCCAGTCCGTTGCCTAGATTCACACAACACAGGGGGAGTTCCTCTTATATAACACAGTTATCTTATTCAAAGATTTGGTTGGCCACCGTTTCTAACTTATCAACAAATATTCGCCTAATTTCTTTTGCTTCAATTTTGATTTTCCGTTGATTCTGTGAAAAGTTTATAGATATATATTCTGCAAGTTTATTTCATCAGAATTTTTGCATTCTGGGATGGGATAAAATGTGGTCTTAAAACTTAATTGAAAATAAATTATGATACAGTCACAATGCTGTTGGTTAAAGATTAAATCTAATGGTACTTTCTGGCCAGCTATGGTTTAATGTGTATACTTGAAAAATATTAAAAAATAATGGGAGATAAACTGGCTTCATAATCACAAAAATTGTTTTATCACAAAATCTCTCATATGATGAAGTGCCATCTTGGACCTAATCAGGATACATAAATTGACAAAAATTGTGAAAAATTGTTGTGGAAACTTGAGAACTTTTTGAAGAAAAAAGGTGATAAAATTCAAACTTGTGATTAATGATTCAAGGTATGGAGCCCAGAAAAAGGCTAGTAGGTATTCATAGATGTGGCGCTTTCCAAGAAAATTTATAAATTCATTTGTAGCATTGAAGGCATACATTTTAACAAAAAAACCAAAATATTCCTTTTAAAAACATATTTGTAACACTAATACCATTCATTAACACAATGTTTAAAAAATTCCTTGATTCTATTTTTGTTGTGATAAACATTAAAGTGACCTTGAGCTATAGTAGTAGCTTTCCATAGTAACCAAGAGTTGTAGTGACCTTGAATGCACCTACTGGAGTTAGGCAGACTGAAGTTTGGCGTCTGCATAGCTACCATTCATCA